AATTATAATGTTAAATGTCTGTGATTTGTCAATTTAATCAATTTATTATGTATATATTTAATCCATATATTTTAGTGGGCATATGGCTACACTAAGTATAGCCGCTATACTACATTGCTGATCAATAATATAGAAGATATTAAAGAACGATTTGTAAATATTAAGAAAATATTTGCAATAAAATCACAATATTTGCTACAAATATATAACTCTTGGTATGAAGACAATGCGATTTTCATTCAAATGGAGTTTTGTTCGCAAACTCTATGGGATGTCATAAATGCAAAACACATTATATTTGGGACACAAACCCATCACTCGTTGGCAATGATTTCAATTGATTTCCTGATTTCACAGCAATTATTGAGACAATTATTACATTGTATTCAAGGATTGATTGCTTTGAATATAAATATTGATAAAACTAAACTTAAAACCAAACATATATTTATATCAACTTATAATATAATAAGCGAAAACAATATAAAATTATATCTACGTTTATATGACAATTCTGTATTTAATGGTAAAACTCTTACAATGTATGCAATCAAGAAAATCGGATTAATTGCCAAAGAATTGTTTGAAATGCAATTATCACATAAGTATTAATATTATATCAAAAATATGTTGATTATAAATATTTATTATAACTGAATTAAATTTTATAGAAATGGTTATAAACAGAAGGTTTACAAGTCATTTATCTGCGATAATTTTGATGTAAATGTCGATAAAATCCATACATTTATTAATGGATTACTCGAGAAATCAGAAGAGAAAACACGAGATATAAAGGATATAATGAATGAATTCAATGATATTTTTGGTGAAAATGTAAACCAAATAAACGCTAATATAATCTCACGGATGAAAAATGCAATTCTGTGGCGAATCCCTATATTTAAGGCAAAATCAATTAATTATAAACACATTTATAATTATTTAAAAGAAATAATTAAACAGCAAAATAACAAATCCGATACAAATGATCAGTTAAATGTTGAGCACTACATGAATTCGCTAAAACAAATTCATAATTACAAATTATGTGAATCACCATGGCCATATTCTAACCAAATTCACCTTAAAGTTCAAAATACAGATACAGTACACATGAATATATCAAACGAATTTAAAATGGATTCCACCCCCAGGGGTCGGGCCATTATAATAGTTACTCAATCTGAGTTGGCCAACGAAGCCGAACAATTCAAATCAATATTCACACAATTACTATTTGAAACAGAGGTTTATTCGCTGATCACATGTGACGAGATTCAAATTAAACTGACCCAGTTGGCAAATACTAATGAATATAATGGCAATGCTTTTATCATGATGTTTATTGGCAACGGCTATAACGAAAATATAATAGGCTATAGAGAGCCGAATGACACGCAATGGCCGCCAGAGAATCACAATCTGTTGCCTATCAGTGATATTGTGGCCACATTTGCTTGGACTCGGGCACCAGTATTACGAGATAAGATCAAAGTGTTTATTTTCAACTGCGACCGCTTAAGTATGCTATTTTTAATTAACATAGATATTATAAAATATAAAACTGCGTCAACCAAACTCTCAAACTTCGTAAATTATAACATTCTCATTTTATAAATTGCACAGAAGTTGACGTCGAATTATACAAAACTACAGTAACAGATGATTTTTGTGCTAAATCTGCCGAGATGGTTTTGGGCCAAAAAGAAACGGCACTGATTAATAAGTTGTCCATGCTTGATCCACAATTCAACCAGAATAATGATCAAACTTACGTGATATATTCATGTCGCGAGGGTACGATTTTATAGCTATTTATTAATTGAAATGTTGTTTGGCAAATTCAAATATTAATCACAATAACCAGGGTATGGATCCTGGTGTAATCTTGTTGGCGGTCCTATTGGTTATGTCACTCATTTCGGTCAAACATTTAGTCACACAATAGCGCAGTACTCGTCATATAAAAGCCTTATTGAGATGTTTGTTATGGTTTGTCATGTTTTCAAAAATTATGTAAATTATTAATAATTTATAATTAATTTGTTTACATTTCAGACACTAAACCGTATGGAAGACGAGTTAACGGAGAGAAGGTTATGGCAATTGCCAGAAATTAATATGTTTGAAACGACTAAGGATTTT